AAAAACACATCATTGATTTGAATTGACCGGATACGGGTAACGTCACATGTTTCCATTGTTTCTCCTCAGGTGGATGAAGAGGACGGCTCCGGCAGCGAGATAAAGACGCTGCGAGGTCACAGCGGCCCGGTGTTTCGTACCGCCTTCCTGACGGACAGCTCCGGCCTGCTCTCCTGCTCCGAGGACACGACCATCCGCTACTGGGACCTGGGTAGCTTCACCAACACGGCGCTCTACCAGGGCCACGCCTACCCGGTGTGGGACGTGGACGTCAGCCCCTGCAGCCTTTACTTCGCCAGCGGCTCTCACGACCGCACTGCCCGCCTCTGGACGTTCTCCCGCACCTACCCGCTGCGGGTCTACGCCGGGCACCTCGCCGACGTCGACTGTGTCAAATTCCACCCCAACTCCAACTACCTGGCCACCGGCTCCACAGACAAGACTGTCCGGCTGTGGAGCACCCAGCAGGGGGCGTCGGTTCGCCTCTTCACCGGCCACCGTGGCCCGGTGCTGTCGCTCGCTTTCTCACCTAACGGGAAGTATTTGGCGTCCGCCGGCGAGGACCAGAGGGTGAAGCTGTGGGACTTGGCGTCAGGGACGTTGTTCAAAGACCTGCGGGGACACACAGACAGCGTCACCAGCCTGTCTTTCAGCCCGGACAGCAGCCTGGTGGCGTCGTCGTCTATGGACAACTCCGTCCGGGTGTGGGACATCCGGAACTCCCACGGCGGGACGCCGGCCGACGGCTCGTCCAGCGAACTGGTGGGACTGTACACTGGAAACACCAGCAACGTGCTGAACGTCCAGTTCATGGCCTGCAACCTGCTGCTGGTGACGGGAACGGCACAGGAGAAAGCAGAACAGTAGCAACAGCAGCTGGTTTATGTGTTTTATGTTTGGGAGAAAAGCTGGAATATCTCCAGATGTTTGTCATCAGTCAGACAGGAAACCGCTGAGAGGTTCGACGCCACCGTCTGCCCCAGCAGCGAGAGTGTCCTCATTAGTTTTGTCATCAAAAAGAAGCCAGGATAAATATCTTTATTCTCCCAAAACTGGCTTACGTATTAGATCATTTGTCCTTGGTAGTATTTTCTAATTACCAAAGCATCTTTTCTTCACTCAGTATCAGTATTAAAGAATTGCTCAGTTCTCGTGTACCCGATGGTTCAAAAGTTCTGGATCTCCGTAGTTTTATGATCCGTAAAAGCAGCATCTGCAGGAATCTGTCTGACCCAAATAGGAGCTGAAAATATAATATAAATATGAACAGAATCGTTAAATATGAACAGAATATTAGGAGTACAAACACAATGTTAGCTGTTTTACCCAAAGTCATTTTAATAAGATCCAAATGAGCTTCAGTCAGGCTGGAACTGTTCCTCCGGTTTAAACGTCCTGCGTCGAGCTAATTATCATTTTAATTTCTCATCTCTCGTGATGATATGATACCTGAGTTTGAAGTGGTGTTAACTTTCCATATTGAAGTTGGTATCGACCACAGAAGGTAAAATATTTTGTTTACTTTGGAAGCACAGAAAAAAAACTACAAACATGGCAGCGTATCTTTAGTTTGAGTTTTAAGCGATGCTACAAATGTCAAATATTGTTTTGAATGAAGTTTTTCTTTTTGGAACAAAACCGATAACCAGTCCTGGTTCTGTGCTCATCTATTTACTGATCAGATCTTTTGTTCTGACTTTGGGTAAGACGGCTAAGAAAGATATTCCCAAAATGTGGGACTGTTCTTTATTAAAGTCCTCTTTGTGTTTCACCTGCCTGACCCATAGTTCCTTCCATCGGCTTCACCTCAAATGTATTTATATGTGAAACCGCAGCTTTCTCTCGTTGCTGTCGGACAAATTTCACATCTAAAAGAGGAAAAAAGCTGTTTGCCTGTGGAGTTTAGAGACTGTTAACAGACTTTAAAGTGTCTAAAAGGTCGAATATAAGGAGCTATGTGAACTTTTAAAACACTGCAACAGGAAGTGGTTGTATTTTCTCACGGCGGCGGTGTTTAAAAAAGAAAAACCTGTAAATAGACTTGTTGAGGAAATTTCTAAGAATTAAAGGCTGTATTTTTCACACTATTCTGCAAGTGGCATGAACTGTGCAATGCTTAAAAAGTGTAAATATACTGTATTTTTGTAATATTCTGGCTGCCGAGAGTTGGCAACCAGTTTGTGCTTAATGAGGGCTAAAAAGAAATACTGACGTAGAAACAGATTTTTCTGGATTTGTTTTCATACTTTCAAAGTGTGACTGAGGATTTTATTTTTAGCATTTCATTTGTAAATTCAGCATTTGTCCTTTTTTTTTTTATGTTTGTCAGCAAACTTTTGTTCCCTCCTGTAGCCCAAAAACAAGGAATAAATAACAGAATCTATTTGAACTAATGCTTCAGTCGGTGTGTGACGTTCTGGGTTTAACCCTCATCTTTGTGTCTTCTGCCTCGCTGTGAATAAAACACCCTGGTAACAATCGATAAACCTGATGTAACAGACCGGACAGACGGGACCTACATTAGCAAAACTCAACCCTGGGTTTGCTGGTTATACAAGTCAATAAGACAATCCTCGTTTTCACCACATAACCACAGTTTTAATACGTTACTACCATCTTACCATTGCAGCAGTATTGTCTGTGATATACAGGGATGTTTGCAGACTTTTCTTTACTGGGGTGTCAGTATGCAGAAGTATTCAAATACCACATTAAGTGTCTGCAAAATGGAGACTCATTGGGTGCCCAAAGAATCCAGATTCATTCAGATATCTTGAGGTTTAGCCTGACATGGTGACAGAAAACAGAGACAGCTACAGCCTCTAAAAAAAGAGTGGAGGAGGTGAGGATGAAGGGGTTCATGGACACGGTCCTGCTGATGTGCACACGTCTGGAGTCGAGCTTTTATCGAGCCCGAAACAAGGAAGCAGTTTTTAAAAATTCACATTTTTGCTCAAGTTGCTTTTAGTTTAAGTGACACTGACTTAATTTGGTAATTTTTTATTCGTACTGTGACAACAAAATACCCTAGTAAAGCAAACGTAATCAGGAACAGAAAACTTACAAGTAAAAGCTGCTTAATCAATTATTATTATCATTTTTATTCAACTTTTATTTCCCTGGTGGAATAAAGGTTGAATGAAAATCTCTTTTCCGAGGAAGACCTGGCAGCGACAGCACACCAGATACAAAAAAAGAAATAAAAACACACTAAAAGGACGAAATCTAGTTCAAATAACATAACATGGCTTTAAATTCTTCCAATGGGACCAGACCAGATCATTGAGGTGTAGTAAGATTTCCAAATGATTTTAGGGAACAAAGTTAGAAAAAAGCCTTTATTCTCCAGCTCATATAACCTTCATGATTCAGGATTTATTATTTATTATTAGGAGTTATATTAGTTTTAACTAGGTGGACCAAATCATGTAAATTTAAAGTGAATTTTTTCACATTAAGTATAATTTTGGTGCCAATACATTTGTACTTTTACTCTAGTAATATTTTAAAAGCAGGACTTTTCCTTATAACACAGTATTTCTACACTAATCGCACATAATAGAGTTATTTTTCCACCTACTCAAGGTCACATAGCCACCATTAAATGTGCGCATAAGCAAAAGCCTGACAGATGGTAATCTCACAACACAACACAGAACGGTGTAAATACACACACACACACTCATCTAAAGAGATATGTAAGGAATCCAGTGTGTGTACAGCAGGAATGTGGATGTTGTAGCTGTCAGACTGTCACCGTTCTGTGGGCGGCAGGGCGCAGCAGGGACAACGCTGGCACACCCAGACAGTGACAGACATCTGTAATCACAGCTGGGAGGGGTACTTTAAAAATGTAATCCGATACAATCACTAATTATCAGTTAAAAATGTCAAATAAAGACAGAGAAAATAAATATTAATTAAATTAAAGTCTTTGCTTTGGAACTCTTTCATCATTTAGCATTTCTGTTGGTCCAATATAATTTAATAAGGCTGATTTAACTAATTTTACAGTGGCCCAACAGAATTACTTAAGTATGAAAGAAAGCTGTTTAATCACATGGAAACACTTTCCATGATTCAATTGAGTAAATTCAAAGAGTGTAACTACATAAAAAAAACATAAAACACAAACAAACAAATTATTTGTTCTTGTTAGACCAATATGAGTTCATTCATCTGAATTTAATTTAGTTTACGAGTAACCTAATACATTTTCTCAAGTACTGAAGGTCCAGTGTGGAGGATTTACCGAAGGCGACCCGCAGCGTCGAAACAAAAACACAACAATCCTTATATTCAGGTGATTACACACTAATGAAAAGATACCTATGAACAACACTGGACCCTTTAAGGCCGGCCACCTGTTCGGATTTCCCTTGAAATCAATGAAACAAGGTCGTAGAGTCACTACATCTTTTTGTCCAACATTAAAGTTCCTTGTTGCTTCATGTTCGTGTTTTCGTTACCTCAGAATGAGATGTTTTTAATCTACATACAGACGAAGCTGAGTAGCCCAGAACGCTATCTAGAAGTTTAGATAGCGCCGTTTCAAGGCCACCGTAGTGTCTCACTCACTCAACTTCACCGCTAGATGCCATTAAATCCTCCACACTGGACCTTTAAATACAGTAGTTTCTGGTAAACCTACACAAACTCTTGCATTTATTAAGGTAGGTAATCATAAATGGTTTGTACTTGTATAGCACCTTTCTAGACTTCTGACCACTCGAAGTATGCCACATTCACACAGCGATGGCAAAAGCTTATCAAAC